AGGGCGCCACTCCCACCCCTGCAAGCCCTGCACTTTATGATCCTGGAGCCTGCTCTGCCCTCCCACCTGGCCTGGCAAGTTAACAAGGCTCTAGGCTTCCTACAAGGGTGCTGGGAGTCTGGCCATGCACCAAGGCAGAGGCTTCATGCCCAGCTCAGCTCATTTTGGGATGTCATTAAACTCGCATGCATTTCTTCCATACACACCCTCTAATGCATCCTTCTTTCCTCCTTCCCATCCCACAGCAATTCTGAGCTGCAGGGCCTCTGACTGCATAGAGCTAGGAACTCAAAACAGGCGCCCGCTGGTTCGGTGCTCCCTGTGCATCTGCCCAGAGGCCGTGGCCTGAGAGGAAGCCAACCCCCACCCGCGGGCAGGAGGAAGCAGAAGGCATGGGGCGGCATGGCCCAGCTGCCCAGAGGCCACCTGGAGACCTTCCTCAAGGGAGGGGACACTCTGAAGTGTCTACCGCCATGCCCGCTGCCTTGTAAATGCGCAAAACAGTTGGATAATGAGATAGTCCATAAGTGAGGAGTAGGTATATTCACATATTTAAAAAAAAAAGATCAAATTTATAAAGTATACTTTTTTTCAAATTAGAAAGACTTTCATACCAGGTTCATGAGCCAAAGCATGTTGAAGAACTTTTTCTGCTTTGTCATACCATTTCAATTTTAATAATAGTTCAGCCAGGTCATAGCAAAGATAATTCTGCTGTCCACTTTTCAGAGCGGCTTCGTAATAAGTGATTGCCTAAACAAAACCCATTTCAATTAGGGAAAAAAGGCAATGATAATGGCATTCAAGAATAGATATTTTATACATTAGACTTAAAGCATATACATAATTGGAAATAAACTAGGACAATCTTAGGTATGTACCTGCACTATCAGTGAAATATCTCATTTTTCTGAGAGAATCAATTATCACACAAGGCAAATGACATTTCTCACAATAACTGGTTAAAGAACACTGCTTGGCTAAGTCAAGTTTACAGGCTTTATTACAGAGGCCAGTGAGCCTTACTGAATGCAATACTTGCCAGGAAAAGGGCAAAATCGTAACAACTAAAGGAAAATCCATTATTCCTAATAGAAAAAAATACCTCAAAGCACATGGCTTACTAAAATTAGCTCATCAGAAAGGACATCTATTAAGCTCAGTCATATAATGAAATAAATAAAAGCAACTTTATTGTAACTGATTTGGTGCCAAGAACTTTCGTGCAATATAAAGTCTAAAGTAAACCGCAGAGTCCAAACAGTCTTCACAAAATGCAGCAATGAAGAATCAGAGACAGTCTTTAACACAAACTCTAGTTTGTGTATACAAATTTGGAGTTTACAAGGATCAAAGATGCAAACAACACTTGCTGAAGACTTCTCAGAGAAGAGTTTGATAAATTTGATCCAACAGATATATTTCAAACTATAAAATACTTACCTTTGAATAGTTGTGAGTTTTGACAAGAGCTTTCCCAATTTTGCTTGCCAAAGTTCCATCTTTTGGGTTCTGATTTAGTGCTTGCTCATACGCTACTATGGCTTCTTCAGGCTAATATTGGCAGGCATACAAATAAGCAGTAATTAAACAGCTTAACTGGATCTCATTAAATGGCAACATTTCCATAATGAAGCTCTACATATGGAATACCTAATGAGGCTAATTAGGCACATATTTAGGTCCAGGAATCTTAAAACAATTTCAGAGAGGTCGTAGTGACTAGGGTAGGTGGTGTAACTCAATAGTATAATCCCCATCCACGTTAACCATGTCCTTGTCTTCAAAGACAACTTTTTGATTCTGAAATTCTAGCAGTTATTGTAAAAGCCAGATATAGTCAGAGAACTGCTTCCATTTAAAGAAAACACCATCTTAACCAGCAGCTGTAATAGTCTGTTTAAAGGAGACTCCTAACATGTTTTTGGTATCATCTCTATTTCAAATAATCATAGGGCTGAATTACTGGATCTCAACTTGAGAGAAAAAAAATGAATTTTTTATTGTAATAGCTGTCTCCCTTTTACTGTGATGACTGGATCTCCACATACTAAA